GATATATATATATATATATGTGTGTATATATGTATATATATATATGTATTTTTATATATATATATATATGTATATATATATATATATATATATATATATATATATATATATATATATATATATATATATATATATATATATATATATATATATATATATATATATATATATATATATATATATATATATATATATATATATATATATATATATATATATATATATATATATATATATATATATAAATATATATATATATATACACAAATATATATATATATATACACACACACACACACACATCTGATGCATTTATTTTACAGATGTTTTCATCTCTAACATAGCCAAAGGGTGGTCAACTTGCCCAGAGTGTATTTTTAAAAATCAAAGCAATTTCTTAAAATATGTGTCAAAATACCAAACATCATAGCTGAGAAACAGCCCAAGCTGTGGCCATATCGGCCCAAAATCAGCCCAGAGTGGATGAAAATAACCCAGCAGCACACAAGGGTTGATTTGAACAATTTTCAACAAACTGCTCTTGTGCTTCACAAGCTATTGAAATGAAGAGTTTCATAGCGCAGTGCTTTCCGCATCCAGTGTGAAAGCTGCTTCTGTGTGTGTAGTGATGATTGCTATGGGAGAATGAAACAAGTGCGCTGAACAGTTTTTTCACCACATAGTATTGCAGGAAATGTCTACTTCAGCAGATAATTCTTACAGGCAGAAAATTTGCATTCTTTCTTATCAGAATTCTCCACAACATAAGCATTGCACATCTCAGATTATCCCGGTATTGTGCAGCGCTAGTGCTATTGCCTCTTAAGGCTCAAGGTGTTTTTAACATGCATGTTTTATTTCTCTTTGCTATTTGGGCTTATTGGAGCCTAATTAGAATAAAAACCTAAGCATCATCTTTTGGTTTGAAGTACTTTTAGAGAAAAGTGATGTCCATATATATGGACTCATGGTCCGAAATTACATAAAACTCTCTTTTCTGACTGTTTTGTCAGAGAGTAAAAACAACATTTTCCCCATTTTGGACTGTTAAGAATAGTTTTCGGGACATCATACACTGCAAAACAGTTGCAGGATGACACTGTATGTCTTTAATCAAATATAAAACATTCAAAGTATTTTAAACAGACACTTAAGAGCTAAGATGTGCTGTCCACATATGTGGCCACTAAACCCTGGGAGGTTAAAGGGTGAACTGGCCGAAGCTGTAATGCATACACACACTGAATATAACACATCACGTCTCATTAAGGACAGGGATTTCTGTGTGGTGTTTGATTGGCATGTACGTGGGCACCAGAATCACTGATGCGGTCGAGCTGCCATTTCTGACGATAGTTTGAGGAATCACGCAAGCATGCTGTAATGCTTTAATTAAAGCGCTGAGGGAAGGTAAAGGTCAGCGGTGTAATTCACTCAGGTTGCCAGGTGACAGTATTATGGACAGCAGTGAGAATACTGGACAGAAAACCAGCAATAAAACACATCACTCCAATAAAGCCCCATATCAAACCCCAGATGACTGTGATTAAAGAAGCTCGTCACCACCTCCAGCGGAGTGTGTGTTACACTAACGCTCATCGTGTGTGATATATTACAATAATCCACATGAAACATCTCCATCAGCACAATGCAAACATGCGCCAGACCCCAGTGGTTATTCTGCTGAAGGAAAGCGTCAGGCTGTTCATTACTGCAACTGAAAGAGCAGAACTGTAAACCTGAAGAGCAGATGGAAACGAGGGACACTGACCACTATCAAACACTGCGCAAATGTGTTTCTTACTCTGAGTTTTGTCTAGTTTCTAGTGCAAATATTAAAAGATTCTTAAATCGAGAAGCATTTTCTAGACAAGCCAAACATTTGGGTTTGCTTTTAGACATAATGAGACGAAATGAGGAGAGTTTTTAATTAAAGCAAGCAGAATAATCTGACAATGGGGGAAATGAAACAATCTGGTTTTACATTTTGACATGAGATTATTCTGCTTCCCCCATCGGCAGATTATTGCTTATTATTCTGAAAGGATCAGCAATGCTTTCAGAACATCACCATGGGCCTGTGTTCTGAACAGATGTGCTGCTCATCCAACATCAGGCATTGGGTTGGTGCAGAACAGAAAGACGTCGCTCTCACAATAAAGAACTCCTGCTGGAAACATCTGGCAAACAGGCGTCTATGAAGAGCTTCTTCCTGGTCCAGCGAGGTAAATATTTGGCCCTGGTGACCCTGGTGATTTGAGGGCAAACGGGGTGTCTGTTCAACAAAGAGCAGCGCTGAACGCCAGCGGGTCTGAGTATGATAAATATAGAGCTCTGAAAACCGCAGCACAGTTACTGTAGATACAGCAGGAGAGTTCGTCACACACACCAAGACCACCACACACTCTGAAGGCACCGCTATACTCGTCCCTATGAAAAGCACTGATGCATGTCATGTGCATTCTGAACCAACAGGGGGCGATAAAAGCCGTTGATGCTCAGTTCACGGCAAATGCAGTATGAAATATTTGCGCGAGTAACTTGCATACAAGTAAATGCAAACATGAGAGGCGGAACTTGCTTCAATTATGTCTTCCACATTTGCCGTGAACACAACCTTATCGACCAATCAGAAAGGAGAAAACATCGCAATAGTACACGCAATTACAGGCATGCAGACAGAAACAGGAATAAGCTGCATCTTGAAAACACAATGTGTACATTTAGCATTTTATTTAGCGTAATTTCTTCATCTTTATGTTGCACCTGCTATTATTAGTTTTGGAAAACGGTTTTATAATTAAATTAATATTAATATTTCTACATTTTTAATTTAACATTTGCGCTGAAGTTGTTATTCACGCTGGAAATATGATTACGAGTATATTACGAGCATTTACTTTAAAATGTGAAACAGGACTAGTCCTTTAAATGTGGTCAATATGCAAATATAAACTATTAATTGACTGAAGTGGTGTGATATATATCGCTATCGGGATATGAGCCGTCTTATATCCTAATATGAGATTTTTGTCATGACGCCCAGCCCTAAAGATCTGTTTATATTTCAGTTTATGTTGTTGTTATACTGTGTAACCAGCAGGTGTCGCCAGAGTGCAGTCTCATCTGACCAGTGAATCCAGCTCTTGTAATCTAATCAATCAGTGCATTCAGCTATTGCAGTCAGGCCCCGTTTACACTAATATGTTTTCGTTTTAAAGCGCATAAGTTTTGCTACGGTTACGTCATGCGTCCACATTACCCCGGAGTTTGAGCGCCGAAAACTGCGTTTTTTGTAAGCGCTGCAGAGGCCGTGTTCATCCTCAAGCGCTGCAGCTCCGTCTCAGTGTGGATGGAGGAAAACGGAGACATCTGAAAACAGAGGCGGGGCTGCTGACATTCTCCTCTCTGATTGGGGCTTTTCCTCATTAAGTATCCTCTACACACAGCTCAGTCCTGCATCCTCTCCTTCAGTTCAGACTTCACTAGTTTGAG